TGTAAGCCTTCACCTGAAGTACAATAAAATATATATATTAAAAAAAAAAAGAATAGTTGTTATTATAAAACAGAGAAAACAGCTATTACCACTCTAAAAATAAAGGGGGGGGGGTGATAAAAATTTTGTAAAATTTGTCACGTTTATGCTTGAGTCCTTTGTTGTTGTGACCATAAACTATATGACATTCATTCTCTTGCAAATGAAGTAAATTTAACAGCTTTAGAGATACTCTAAGATAGCTCTGTTGTTCTTCCAATCACATTGCTGATATTAATCAAGATCAACTTACCTTTCATCATCCTTAAAATATGGCTCCACAAATGCTTTCTGCTTGATTTTATCATGTTTATCACCATTACCTGTAAAGAAAACAAGTATACCATAAACTGAAGGCACAACTTACTGGGAGGTAATTAGCTTGTCTGACAAAACTGACATGCATCAAAACTTCCATTTTATTGGGTTTCATACTTCAGGCCCCTAGGAAAAATAATTGAAATTTTCTACATTTTTCCTATCTTCAAAAAGAGGAGGGTGCTGTCTCGCTTATCTCAGAATCATCATACAGCTAAAAATACTACCTCAGAAAGAATTTTGGGACTTTAAAAGAACTACTCAAATACCTATTATTATTGTTTGGCACCAAACATAACAAGAGACAGCTTTCCTATGTCCAGACCACTTAACAGTCTTACTGATTTTTATAATGGGTCTTTAAGGTAGGTTATAATTATGAAATTAAAGAGATTAAAGAATTTTACCAGGAAATTGGTAACAAAATAAGAGCTAGAGCTCATGGACCTGACTTCCAAGTTGTCAAGACTCAACCAACCAACTGCTTTCATCCAACCAAACAATCAAAACGTACACAGCATTGTATAAGTTCTGGACATACAATGTAGAACAACAGAGACCAGGTCTCCTGTCCTTCTGGAGTGCTAGTGTTGTCAGGGAAACAGACATTAAGTAAATGATGAGTAAAAAGAGGTCAGCCATGAGAATGGGGTGTACGTGTGTGATGTTCCAGGTAAAGGATATGGCATGGGACAAAGGCTTGGTATGTTACAGGAACTAAGAGAAAGCCAGTGTAGTTGAGATTTAGCAAAGAAAGGGAAGTGTTAGGGAAGATGAGGCTGAAAAGGAGGGCAGGTACCAGATCATGATGGGCCTTGTAAGCCAAAAGGAGTTTGACTTTTACTGTAGCCACTGAAGGCTTTTTTAAAAAATCAACTTTATTGAGGTATAATTTGCATATAATTCACACTGACTTTTAAAAAGTGTACTAAACCAAACCAAACCCACTGTCGTTGGGTCGATTCCAAGTCATAATGATACCATAGGGTTTCCAAAGCTATAAATCTCTATAGAAGTAAACTGTGACATCTTTTTCCCGTGGAGCTTCTAGTGGTTTTGACCCGACAACTGGTGGTACAGTAAGTGCTTGGCTGCTAAGTGAAAAGTCAATGGCTCAAGCCCACCAGTGGCTATGCAGGAGAAACGACCTGGCAATCTGCTCCCGTAAAGATTACAGCCTTGGAAACCCTATGGGCCAGATCTACTCTGTCCTATAGGGTCACCAAGAGTCAGACTGGACTCAATGGCACACAACATTATTGGAACTATACAGTATGTATTTTTTCTTCATCTTTTGTATTTTTCTAGCTCAACATGTTTTTTTTAAAATAAATATTTTTTGTTGTTGTTGTTGAAAATATACATAGCAGAACATAGACCAATTCAACAATTTCTATGGACAATTCAGTGACATCGATTACATTCTTCAAGTTGTGTAACCATTCTCACCTCCTTTTCTGAACTATTCCTCCACCAATAATATGAACTCACTGCTCCCTAAACTTCCTATCTAACCTTTCAAGTTGCTGTTGTCAATTTGATCCTATATAGATAGTTCTTTAAAAGGCAGACATTCTCTACTAATTAAGCTAAACTACTGTTTGGTTTTAAGAAGACTTCAGGGGGTATTTTTGGTGTAAGGCTTAAAGATTAACTCACAGTAATAGTTTTGGGGGTTCATCCAGCTTCAATGACTCCAGAAAATCTGGATTCCATGAGAATTTGAAATTCTGTTCTTCACTTCTCAACCTCTTTTGATCAGGATTCTTCTATAGAATCTTTGATCAAAACGTTTAGTAATGGTAGCTGGGTACTATCCAGTTCTTGTCTCATGGTAAAGGAGGTAGTTTTTTATGGAGGCATTAGCCACCCATTCCATTTCCTCCTACTATTCCTGACTCTCTCTCCTCTGTTGCTCCAAGAGAACAGATTCCAATTATTGTATCTTGGATGGCTGCTTGCAAGCTTTTAAAGACCCCGGGCATTACACAATGAACTAGGAGGTATCTAGCTCAAGAAGTTTTGAAAATTCACCCATGTTGTTGGATCCATTAGTTCTCTTTTTTGTTGTGAGTAGTATTCCAGTATATGAATATACCACAATATATGCATCTGTTGATGGACACTTGGACTGTTTCCAGTTTTGAGTGATTACAAATAGTACTACTATGAACATTCTTGAATACGTCTTTTTGTGAACAAGTTTTCATTCTGCTTGGGTATAAAACTAGAGTGGAATTGTTGGGTTATAGGACAGCTATATGCATAACTTTATAAAAAAAACCACCAAGTAAATTACACCTCAGTCAAGCTGTTTAAAAAATTCTGGCAAACTGTTTTCCCAAAGTGGTTGTACAATTTACACCCCTACCAGCAATGTATGAGAGTTCCAGCTGCTCTTCACTTTTGCCAATATTACATATTATCAGTGTTTTTAACCATTTCAGTGGATATAAAATAGTGTTTCTGATGTCTAATGATGCTGAACATCTTTGCATGTGCTTACTGGCCACTAGCCAGAGATGAAAGTGGTTTAGACTAGGGTGATGGCAGCAGAGATGAAGAGAAGTGAACTGATATTAAATACACTTTGGACACTGTTAAGGTATTGGGCCTGAAGGTGAGGTGAAGAAAGAAGTCAAATATGACTCCAATGTGTCTATCTTTAGTAACTGGGCGGACAGTTACTGAGGTTTAATGGGATCCAGAAAAGCAAGGGAAGATCAAATTTGGGTAGGAAAAAAAAGATTTCTAATGAAAATTATTAAGTTCAAGATGCTTATAATTCACTCAAACAAGATGTCAAATAGGTAGCTGGATATACACATCTGAAGTTCAGAAGAGAGAGGACTAGGCTGGGAGCAATGAACATACAGAAATATCTTCTTGGCTTCTGGAACAGTGCATGCTTTCTTGCTTTCCCCCTACTTCACAGGTTGCTCCTTGTCAATCTCCTTTGCTAGTTCTTCTTTATGTCTCTGAGCTCTTAAAGTTGCCATGCCCAGAATGCAGAACTTAAAATGCTTCTCTTTTCTATTTAAATTCAATACCTTGGTGAACTCACTCAGTTTCATGCTTTAAGTATCACCTAGTTGCCGGTGATCCCCTGACTCCTCGTATTTATTTATTTTGGATTTCTTGTCTAAACTCTAAATACATACCAACTAAAACACCTCCAAATTTGGTCTAGTTAAGTACTAATTTGTCAAGAACTGAGTGTCTGGTATTCTCTAAATTTGCTCCTTCCTATGAGGGAAGACTAGGTAGGACTTTGTGATATAGGGGTCAAGAAAGTGAAATAAATGGACAATAAGTCCTAAATTATATGCCTAGGTGTCCGGGAAAAATAAAGAAGTCTGCAGGGGTCACTTGGTAGGAAACAAATGGAACTTGGCTAAGAAAGGTTACGTTTAAGGCACTGAAGAGAAATAAACCAAAATCAAAACCAAACCGTTGGCATCGAGTTGATTCCGACTCATGGCGACCCTACAGCACTCCTATAAGACAGAGCAGAACTGCCTCATAGGGTTTCCAAGGCTGTAAATCTTCATGGAAACAGACTGCTACATCTTTCTCCCACAGAGTGTCTGGTGGGTTGAACCACCAACCCCTTGGTCAGCAGTCGAGTGCTTAATCAATGTGCCACCAGGACCCCTTGAAAGAAATAAAAGTATCTAGCAATTACTCAGAAATGCAGGACTGGGACTCATCAGAGAAGTCAAACCTAGAGATGCAGATTTGAAGCCATCTTTCCAGAGGTGGTTAACAAAAGCTGTGTGAGAAAATGTGAAGGAGAAAGACAGTCTTGGGGATACACTAGGAAATAAAAGTTACCAGAGATCAAAAGAACAGTGCAGTAATGTCACAAAAGCTAATCGAGAAGAAACTTTGGGATAGTCAGTGTCAAATATAACTTAAAAAAAAAAAAGACAGAAATTAGTAATTATATCTTTGTAAAAGATTTTTTTTTTTCTCTTGAAATTGAAACCAATTTTCAAAAGGCTCTTCTTGGGAAAAAAAAAGGGTAAAGAAGTCTTGAATAGTTGAAATGTTTTATTAAAAAATTTACTTGATAAAGTTTCTGCAATAAACTGAGCAAGCAAAAGCCTATGTTCTTTATCTGATTAAGGTCTCTTCACTTAAGGGCTGTCATTTTAAAACACTTGATGGAAACATAAGAAAAACATAACCATAATACACGGTGCCATAGTAGAAAGTCCATTCATTTAGACTAGTATAAAACAACCTTTGCACTAGACTGAAAATTCTGACTACTTTATTCATAGTATGAAAACGAGATACTTAGCAAGAATTTTAACTAACGTTCAATATAGATCATCTACTTACTGTTTCAATTAAATATTCTTCTTTTGATTGCTACCCTACATTATTAAAAAGAAATTTACAGCATTGAACGAAGATTAATTTCTCAGTTTTGATAAATGTTCTATGACTATATAAGCTGTTAACATGTGAGGGAAGCTGACTGAAAGGTAAACAAAAACAACTATTTTTTTGCATTTGAGCTTCTATAAGCAAAATTATCTAAAAAAAGTTAACTGTGAAAAACAAATTTGTACAAGAAACAAGAAACTTTCATTGTTAATACACCTCATCAAGCCTCTGTTAATTAGCTCGATGACTTAATTTACTGAAATCAGTGTAACTAAGAAGCCATATTCAAAGTAAAAACAGCCTTACTGTCTGGTTTCTTTGTGGCAGCTGACAATTCCTCCTCTTCATCTGCTACTTGGGAGAAATTATCTGCCAAACAGGATTCGTATTCTTCGTGTGTTGTCCGATCAAACATATCTTCCAAACTATCATTCATTTTTCTTTCTCCATCTATGTAAAAGAGCATTGACTTAAGGGCAACAAGCAGCTTTTTGCTTTCTATATAGACCAATGTGAAACTGACAGTATTTGCCACAAAACAATTCAGATGTGCAGGAGGCAAGAAAAAATCTGGCAAGAATAAACCCCCACGTTTGGGCAGTTACTGTCTATTTACAAAGGCTTTATGTTACAGCATTAAATGCCCTTTACTCATGTGAAGAGAATGCTGATGTTTTTGTTACTGTCATATAACCACATCTCTACAAACATTTAAATATTTTTCTGCCTACCAATTCATGTATAAATCCTACTAAACCAAAAGGAGTTCTATGAAAAAACTGTTAGGAATAGAAAATAAATTATAATGAATGATGAAAATACTGATTTTAAATAAACAGTAAATAAATTGCTGACATTAAGATCTCTACAGAATTTTGCTCACCTGTTGATTTTTCTAAAGATGTAGCAAAAAAGTGTTTTCTTGCATCATCATTAGCACTTGCTAGTTCAGTGTCAACAGAAATGATGTCAATTCCATATCTGATCTGCAAAAGTGCTAAATTCATCTTCAGATGCCTAACTACATTTTCAATTATATAATCACAATTTACAAAACACCAGAGTTTAAGAAAAAACAGAAGTCAGTCCAGCTGGCAACAGGTGATATAACAAAGGCCTGACGAGATGACTCTATATAAAGTCACTACTACCTGCCCCAATTCACAGTGCTCTACCACTCTCACCCTGCTGTATCTTTCCCCAGCACTTACCATCATATACACAGCATACAGTTGCTTGTTTACTGTCTGTTTCTCCCCCATTAGAAAGTAAGCTCCATGAGGGGAGGTACTTTTTTCTGTTTAGGAATTATCTCCAGTTCCTAGAACACTTTCAGGCACAGAACTACAGCTCAATGTTTAATGAATGACTGAACATTTGTTTATTTTTCATTCTGAGGGTCAACGTGGTGCAAGCAGTTTGTACTCAACTACTAACCTAAAGGTTAGTGGTTAGAACCCACCTGATGCTGCCATGGAAGAAAGGCCTGGCAATCTGTTTCCATAAAAGATTACATTCAAGAAAACCCTATGGAGCAGTTCTACTTTGTAATACATGGGGTCGCCATGAGTTGGAGTTGACTTGATGGCAATGGGTTTTTGGTTTGTATGTGCCAGGCACTGTGCTAGACAAACCAAAGCACTCTGTATATGCTGTTAGTGAATCACACATGTTAAGTCATTGATTTATTTTTTTGTGGGGCTGACTTCTGACTGTGAAATGTTTAAAGACTGAGATTATATCCTTATATCTCTCTATCACAGCACCTAGTAAATCTAACACAGAGGAGGGGTTCAAAAAACATTTTTTGATTTGAAATATTAGCAATAGTTGGGAGTTTTCATTCACATATCTCATTTTTAACCAATTTTAGGTGCTGAAAGGTTTTACCTCATGGGGAAGGTCGTTTTTTTCTAAACATGGCCCCAACGGTATCTCCTATCCATGTGTTGTCTTACAATGTGATCTTGACACTCATCCACCGAGCCTAAGGGCTATGCTCACCCACTTTGAACTTGGGCACATTTTTGCGACACTATGCAACGTTTGAGGCCAGATCATAAAAATGCCTTGCTGTCTTGGGATGCTCACTTTGGAACCTAGCCTCCATGTGATGAGGAGAATCAAAGTAGCCCATGTGGAAAGACCTCATGGAAAAGCCCTGAGACTAAATGAGGAAGGAGAAATGCCAACCCTCAGCTGCCTAGCTCTCTAGCTGTTTCAGCTCCAGTCACCATTTGCCCACAATTACCTAAGAGACCCTGAGACATAGCCGCTCAGTCAAGCCCTTCCCGAATTCCTGAGCCATAGAAATTATCTAAGATAAAAAAATGATTTGTGTTGTTTTAATCCTCTAAGTTACTGGGTGATTTGTTATGCAGCAGTAATACCCAGTAATACCCATAACACTTTATTAGCCAAAATTATCTCTATACCCTCTACTCATTAGTCAAAGTTCTAATCTCACTTCCACATGATAACCGCTTCAAATATTTGGGAAACTCTCATGTTTTTTGAATCAACTAGATACATTTAAAAGCAAAGTAGACATACTTTACTGCTTTTTTATCTTTTTCTACCAAAAACATCATCAGGAGGTGATACCAGGAAAAAAATAATCTTAAAAGCAAAGTACCCTCTTGAGAAGAATAGTTTTAAAGTTAAGTTTCATAGTATAAAAATACAAAAAATCATTGTAAAGGTTTTTTCTTTTAATAGGCACTAGCCATTCAACCTAGGCAGTCAGCTGCTTGATCATATGGTTAGTTCTTCACTGAAGGACAAAGAATTAAAGGTGAGGACTATTAAAACTTTCTTTCACTTACTGCATTTAGGGCAGCAAGAGATAAGGTGTTGCAAAAGAAGCAAGGGAAAGACTGGATGTTTTATTATTCTGCCCTGTGAAGGTACACTACAGAATATTCAGCAGAAGGTACGGAATGCACATAGTGCAAATATCCTCGGTTACTAACAGATGACCACTGGAAACGTCTCTGCTTTTAGCATTGCATCTTCACGTGTAGGTCCCAACCCCTCCATACATAAATGATAAATGACAACTGTTCCCCATCTAGCTGTTCTCATGCCACGGGCCTCCATAGTTAGGAATGTTGCTAAGGGAGTCCCAACCAAAATCCTTCCATTGTTCACATCTCTTTTGGAAAATCAAGGCTTTAGGTAAATAATTAATAGTTTCTCACTACAAAGGGCTGTAGAACTCTAATTTGGCCATATCCTCCTTTCAGTAGAGACAGACTACGCCAGAGTAACTCAGCATATACACCATTATTCTTAGTTTACTACTAATTTACAAATCTATACTAATACTTCCCAGCAGAATCTCTGTTTTTTTCTTTATCAAACTGCTTTGGTAAATCTATTTCTGACACAGAACTCTTAAGATTTCCTTTTACTTCCTTCATGAAAAAATGTTTAAACCAGGGATTGGCAAACTTTTTCTTAAATCGCCAGAGAGTAAATATTTTAGGCTTGCGGGGCCAGAAGGTCTCTGCAGCAACTACTTGACTATGTCATTTTATTGTACAAGCAGCCACAGACAATACATACACAAATGAGTGAGGATGTGTTCCAACAAAAACTTATTTGAATTATTTCGGAAACCAAAATCATTTTGAGTTAAAAGATTTTTTCCTAAAATACTGAAACTGAGCTTTACTAAGAGAAACTAAAAATTAACAGGAGAAAAAACTGGTTTATGGTGAAGCGGTTACTTACGCTCATCAGCACAACAGTACCACCATAAATTTCCCTCCACATTTTTATTAAAATTAGAAAAACAAAAGTTGAACTCTTACTTGGACTTTTTTCTCCCTTCTGCTCTTGCTTCTTCATTTTTAAAAGCACAGTTTCACTAACCAACGTGCAGTCCGTGTCCACTGTCTCGTCTCCTCCTAATCTTGACTGACTGCCATCCTGAACACATAAAACAAAACAAAAAAATCCACATTTTAAAAGTTACCCCTTTAAGGTCTTATATTCACTTTTTACATTTTAGGAACAGATATAAATTTAGGTTTTATTGTCTGTAGAACATCTTAGCTTCGATATAAACATCCCCACTCAAGCGTAGGAAAAGGACTGCTTCAAGGAAGGGGAGAGTTACCCACTCAGCTCTCTCTCTTCTCCAACCTGCCTCACAATAATGCACATCAATGTACATGAAGAACCACAATTTTATATGTTCAATCTGATTTCTTGATGGGTATATATTACTCAAGCAACTCTTGAATACTGTTACTAACATGCTACCAGGTGAAAGAGAACTTCTCAAACTATACAGAACCTAAATACGAGCCAAAAGTATTTCTACCATGAGTTTTAATTTTTTTAAAATATACAGTATTTTAAAAAATAGTCAACTGGGAAAATGAGTTTTTTTCTTGATAGTAAATTATTTTAAAAGCTAATCAAGACATATGATGGATCATTTTGACAACAAATAAAATTATTTAAAATATATAATTAGCACTCTGAATTATTTTAAAATTAATTAAAGTTTTAGTCAGTTTATAGTCAGAACTGTTATTACCGTTTCAAAAATACCATTAAAGTTGGAAGAATAAGCATTTTTATTTCTTAGTTTCTGAAGAGATAAACAGAGGCTTATAAGGTATGTGACTATCTCAAAGTAAGAGAACTGATCAGGAGAGGAGACTGATTAACAACTCACTAGAGTTAAGAACCAAATGGGCTTTAGTTTTACTTTTAACTTACCTTTGTATCTATTATGGTAATATCCATTTTATACTGAGAAAGGTCTGCCCCTGGATCTAGACTCCACTGGAGATTTTCAAAAGATTTGTCTTAGACAAGGAGAAAAAAAACACATAATTAAAAATTAATTTCCAAAATTCTTATCACTTTAAAAAACTACAGGACCCAAAGAATGGAAGAAAATTTATGTGCATTTTCTGATGTCTGAGAAGGGACTTACATCTAGAATATATAAAGAACTCACAGAACTCAATAATTAAAAAGACAAAAATCCCTATTAAAAATAGGGAAAGGATCTGAATAGAAAGCTCTCCAAAGAAGATATACAAAATATCATTAGACATCAAAACCACAATGAGATACCACTTCATATCCACTAGCATGGTTATAACCAAAAAGATAATAACAAATGTTGGTGAGGATGTGGAGAAACAGGAACCCTCGCACACTGCTGGTGGAAATGTAAAAGGGTGTAGCTGCCTTGCAAAACAGTTTGGCAGCTCCTAAAAATGTTAGTTAGCATACAGTCCAGAAATTCCACTCTTAAGTATAACCCAAGAAAAATGAAAACATACATCTACACAAAAACCTGTACATGAATGTTCATGAAAGCGTTATTCATAATAACCAAAAGGTGGAAACAACTTAAACGTCCAAGTGATGAATGAATAAAGAAAATATGGTATATGCATTCAATGGAATGCTATTCAGTAATAAAAAGAAATGAAGTAATGATGTTGTTGTGTGCCGTCGAGCCGATTCCGACTCATAGCAACCCTACAGGACAGAGTAGAACTGCCCAATAGGGTTTCCAAGGAGTGGCTAGTGGATTTGAACTGCCAACCTTTTGGTTAGCAGCCTGAGTTCTTAACCACTTCACCACCAGGGCTCCAAAGTAATGATAAGTGTATATCATTACTTTACATATACATGCAAATGCAAAGGAAAAGGACAAGTATCTACAGGGTGAAGAACAATGTTTGGGTGATGTTCTACTTTTTACTCTTTAATATTCTGTATGGTTAAATTTAAAGCTTTTGTAAAAATAAGAAACAGTTACATAAAATAAATAATTGTACATAATCACCTATAAAGGTAGGAATTAGAAGATGTCAATTCATTTTTCAAAAAGTGTAAGAGCAGGAAAACCACAGGTAAACTGAAATCAATGAGAATCATCCTATAAACACAGAAACATGCAGGAAGAAAGAAGACCCCTCTTCCCCAAAACTGTTCAACCTAGCTAAGGACTATCAAAAAAAAAAAAAAATCATTGCCGTCAAATCGATTCTGACTCATAGTGACCTTATAGAACCAAGAAGAACTGCCCCATAGAGTTTCCAAGGAGCAGCTGGTGGATTTGGTTAGCAGCTATAGTGCTTAACCACTGTGTCACCAGAGCTCCTAGAACTATAAACAATACTTCATATTACAATACTCAATTTAAAGTCATTAAAAAGGAATGAAAATCATATGCATAGTGTACATACTTTGGTTGTTTTCTAGGGACTTTGTTTTGGCAATTCTACATGGATTTAGCTGAAGAACTGATGTAAGTTCACATGCTCCACGGGATGACCTGGTTTTCATTCTTATTGGCTCATGAGAAGCAGCACCCTAAAACAGAAATAATTATTACCATGTAGATGAAACCATAAATAGCCATTTTAATAAAAAAAAATCCTTGAACATTTAACACAAACCTTTATGTCATCAAAAAGATTCTCTGTCTCCAAACTTTCACGCGGACACAGAGGGATTTTGAAGACAGGGTTTTCTTCTTTTATTTTTAATGGTGTTTTATTATCTGGAGAGGATTTGCTCAAGGACTGGAGGATACATTCCTGCACACAGGGATCCTCTGGGGCATCTCTGGCTAGCACACAGCTCCCATTTGAGGCCTTACGACTTGAGGAAGAACCCTTTGGAATGGGTTTCAAAGCCTCATAAAGAGTCACTTGCCTAAATCTGTTTTTAGAGGTCTCACTACTTCCTTGGCTTTTCTCTAAACGTTGAATAGCTGAAAATCGATCAGACAGATCCAGAGGTTTATCCATCACATAGTCCCCACTGATGCAAAAATCACTATCCGTTGGAAAAGGAAAAGCATTTTCTTTATCAAAAGCAGCTTGGGGGCAGCTTACTTCATGCTCACTTTCTTCCTCAGTTTTCTTCCTTTTGGATGTTCTGCTTCCCAGTGGTTTCAGGGGCAATAAATGTTTATCAGTAATGGCATCTTTAATATGATCAGTACTACCCTGTGCACCTATGGATTCACTTATACTTTTATTTACAAGCATCTGTTTATCAGAACATGACTGGCCGACGACCACGTTCACTTTAGACCCGAGATTATGATGTGTGAAAAAGTCACTATCTTCAGATTTTGATCTAGGTTTCTCTGGTCTAGAATTAGAAGTGTTGCTGAAAGGGGCTATTTTCATATGTTTTCTTTTCCCAGTCTCTAAAAGAGAAGGGGACAAACTTGTATTCAAACCTAAACTATTTTTCACATTAGAGGTGGTTCCAAATACAGGAGATGATACTCGAGTAGTCAATTCTTCTTGGGGAGGTGACTTGGAAGTAGAATCTGAAAATCTAAACACATGAGAGTGATAAAACTTATTTACTACTAAAGAAACACGGTAAAAATTTAAAGATAAACATAGTGAGAAACTTTTGTTAATACAGGATTATTAATGGTAAGTCCTTCTCTACCAACTAGAGGCAGAAGATTAACCAAAATTTAAGGTAGAGTGTAGCTGATTTTGGCTGACAAAAAGCAGAGGAAAATGACACAGGAAACCTGTGTCAAAATACCAGAATATTCTTTTCTTATAAGAAGTTTTCCTAAGTAATTTAAATAACATCACTATATAAGAAAATCATATTATAATAAATTCTACTAGGGAATTGAATTTTTTTGTTATGAAATCTTTGTTCTTCTATAGTGTAAGAAACAAAATTTTGTACAACATCCAATTTTTATAAATACAAACCCAGAAGGGATGTCTTGGTCTTTAAAGGGGCAGAGTAACAAGGCTGGGAACTCTTAAGCATGGCTTGATAGAAGTACAAAAAGTGTTTAATAGTAACATTCACTAACATTACCATAATGCAAAAAAGGCTTCAGCTGGTCATAAGCTGGGGAAAACATTTTTTTAAATAAACATATAATCAGAATAACAAACTATACATCAAGGGAAATGGTTTAATTATATAGAACTCACTGTAATGGGATCTCACGAATAGCTTATTTAAAAAAAATAAAAATTACCAAAGTGCCCAAAATTACCTTAAACCATTTCCACTATTTCTTGTGGATTCCTCAAAAGGTTGTTTCTTGTGATCTCCTTCCAGACAATGGTAGAGCTCATTACCAAGAGGGCTCACGGGACCTTGAGATTCCTTCAACAGTAAAATATGAAGCACATACATAACGGAATATTACTTAATTATAAAAAGCAATGAAATACTGATACATGCTATGACATGGATAAACCTTGAAAACATTATGCTAAGTCAAAGAAGCCAGATACAAATCTCACATATTGTATAATTTCAGTTATATGAAATATCCAGAATAGGTAAATCCATAGAGACAGAAAGCAGATTGGTGGTTGCCAGGGGCTGGGAGGATAGGGGGCTTATGACTTAATGGATACAGAGTTTTCTTTAGCCCACTGCAGTTGAGCTGATTCTAACTTATAGCAACCCTACAGGACAGAGTAGAACTGCCCCATAGGGTTTCCAAAGAGCGGCTAGTGGACTTAAACTGCCGATCTTCCGGTTAGTAGCTGAGCTCTTAACCACTGTGCCACAAGGGCTCCAGGAGTTTTCTCTGGGGGTGATGAAAATGCTTTGTAACTAGATACAGGTGGTAGTTACAAAGCAGCGTGAATGTATTAAATGTCACTGAAACTGTACACTTTAAAATGGTTAATTTTATATGATTTCACCACAATAAAAAAAATAAAGCACATCTGGAGTTTTAAGAAAAAAAGCATCATTATTTTATTTTTTTATGTAAGTACATTCTAAAACTCTAATACCAAAAATCAACATTATTAAGATGAGGGGAAGGGAACAGATACATTTATACTAACAGGAGATGAATTTAAAAAGGCCTTTTAGAGATCAGTGCTTCTCAAACTTTGACATACATACATGTCAACTGGGGATCTTGTTAAAATGCAAGTTCTCTTTCACTAGGTCTGTGGTTGGGGCTGGAGATTCTTTATTTCTAACAACCTTCAAGGCGATGCAGATGTTGTTGGTCTGTGGATGACACTTGGAGCAGCAAGTGTTTAGATCTGTATTAGTTCCCTTAACACATTTGGTGTTTAACAGATAACAAACTACTGACTTGCCAGGCTTATGGGCAGGAGAATTAGAACTGATTTAAACACATCTAAAGTTTAAGGGTTAAAAACTACTATAGGGTCACTGTGAGTCAGAATCGACTCAATGGCAGTGGGTTTTTTATCACTTCAAGATGGATTTGAAACTAGGAAGGACAAAACCTCAAATGTAATGAAAACCAATTCAATTTTTAAAAATTCAATAGCAAGACAATTTTATGAAAGCACATACACATTTACTGACTAGAGCAAAGTAATACTATTTTTAAATTGTATGATAATAACACTTCTTCTTAAGATTGAAGAATGTCTTCTATTTCCTAGGGATCAATTAAGGAAAAAAGGAAATGTATCTGATGTAAGAAGTGTTTAAAAAATAATGAAAAGAAAACATGGAGTCAATTTCTGACCCAATCCCTAAAAATTAGGTCTAAATGGATTGGCACTCAAGGACAAAGGAAGACTAAAGTATCTAGAGCAAACTCCAGTTTAAAGAATTAAAAAAAAAAAAAAACAATAAATTCTGAGATCAACCTAAACATTTAGGTCTTCTCTTAGATGTAATGAGGTGGGGAGGAGGGTTGGCCAAATCCTGTAAGCCATCATCACTACTCTAAATTTTTTTTAATAACTGATTTTATTTTTGATGTTGAGAATACACATAGAAAACACACACCAATTCAACAGTTTCTACATGTACAATTCAGTGACACTGATTACATTCTTTGAGTTGTGCAACCATCCTCTTTTTCTGAGTTGTTCCTCCCTCATTAACATAAACTCACTACCCTCTAAGTTTCCAATCTAATTTTTTGAATTGCCATTGTCAATTTGATCCCATATAGATAGATCTTAAAAGAGCTCAATCTTCAAGAGAGACATTCTTTACTAGTTAAGCTAAACTACTGTTTGGTTTTAAGAAAACTTCAGGGGATATTTCTGGTTTAAGGTTTAAAGATTATCTCAGAGCCATAGTTTCAGGGGTTCATCCACCCTCCATGGCTCCAGAAAGTCTGGAGCCCATGAGAATCTGAAATTCTGTTCTGCATTGTCCCCTTTTTGATCAGGATTCTTCTACAGAATCTTTGATCAAAATGTTCAGTAATGGGAGCTGGGCACCATCCAGTTCTTCTGGTCTCCTGGCAAAGGAGGCAGTTGTTCATGGAGGCAATCGGCCACATACTCCATATCCTCCTCCTATTCCTCACTCTCCTTCTTCCTCTGTTGCTCCAGGCAAATAGATTCTAATTGTTGTACCCTGAACTGCTGCTTGCAAACTTTTAAGACCCCGGCCACTATGCAATCAAACAGGAGGCAGAAGAGAAGGACTGAACACATTATTAGGCCACTTAACTGGGACGTTCCATGAAACTATGACCCCAAACCTCCAAACCGAGGAACTAAATCATGAGGTAATAAGCAGCCTCAGCAGCTACTCTTTTTATTTTTGTTGTTGTAAATGTATCTATTATAAAACTTCATATATCATAAAATTTATATATCAAATTTTAATTCCACTCATATCCCAAGAACTGTAAAGACTCTGGGTTTCTGGGACTGCCTGGGGTAGAGAATATATATGAGTCTTCCTAACCACATCAGTTTAGTTCTAGGCCTTTATCCAATTATATTTGGATAAAAAAATCTTCTCTTGCTCAATTCTCTAAAAAGTGACTCAAAAAGATCTATCCATTAATTCATATTATCACCAAACTAGACAATTACTTACAGATTCTTCTTGAACATTAAGTCCAAGTGTTTCAGCAACAACGGTAGCTAAATTAAAAGATGGCTTATCAGTGGAGTAACTGCTTGTTCCGTGCGTTTCTAAACCGGCAAAAAACAAAACAAAAAGCCTACCAATTAAACAATTATGGCAACTACATATATCAAAAAATGAAAAGGAAAGAAAGAGGCTCAAAGAATCACTTTATAAGATGGCACTGGACACACTTTTAAATTCTGTGCTAAAAAGTCCAAAATAGCCACTACAAAATGTTAATAAATTGTAGGTATCCAGAATCCACACATGCTATACTTTTTCAGCTGTTAAGTTTTCTATTTTTCCTAAATGACTGAAATGCAACAGGCAGATTATTTTTCTTATTGCCGCTGAAAATATCATAAAGAAGATCATATTTATAATGGATTTATTGTGACCTAAAACACAGCATGAACAGTAAACTAATGTTACAGTACTTTTCATGAAAACATACTTAGTGGGAAAAATTTTCAGCACTGCATAATTTTTAAGTCTAAAGCTAACACTTATTCATACGGGAGTCACCTGTGTTCAAGTATTTCATAAAGTTTTATGCATGTAGAACTTCAATAACTCCACAAGTATTTATGGAGCACCTACTATGTTACAGGCACTGTGCTAGACACTAGACGAAAAGAAAAGGTTCTTGTCCTCAAGCAGCTTATGAGTTACAGTTAAAACAGAAAGATAAAAAGAGAATTATAAGAAAATGTGATAAGCATTATAATAAAGGTACAAGTAAGGGGCAATTTAAACACAGAAGAACTCCTAAATGTGCCTTGAATAATCAAGAAAAGCTATACAAAACAATGCCTAAGCTTACCTTTGAGAGAAAGAGGAATTTAACAAGTCAACTGGGTTGAGGGTAGAAAGGAGGATTCTAGGCATGTTTTAGGGTCCATATATGGGTCCAGACAAAATTGCATGTTCAGGAAACTACATGTGGTTCAACTGCTAGAAACCAAAGTATAAAAGACAGAAGTAGTAGGAGATGAGCCCAGACAGGCAGGTTAGGGATCAGATCATGGTTAGGGGGTTTAGAATTTATCCTGTAGGCAGTGAAAATAAATCCAAGTGTTTTAAATGGACAACAGATGTAATATTTATGTTACGAAGATAATACTGGCCATGATAGGCTTAGGGCAAGGAGCAGTCACTAACAGATAAGGGGACTAATAAAATTACTACAACAGTCTTGACGAGGTGCTGAGGCCTATACTAGTACAACACAGAACAAAGAATATGTGTAACAGATGTAGCAGGTAGATCTGGAGACTGTTTAGATATGGGAAACGAAGGAGTCCAGGATGACTCAAAGTCTTCTGATTTAGGTAATTCAAAGAGGTATGTATAGTGTCATTCACTGAGATTGTAAATGTAAGGATGAGGAGTAGGTTTGGCAGGAAAAGTGTCTATTTTGGACACGCTGAAGTTGAAAGATATCCAGGTGGACAAGTCTAACAGCAGGCAGATACACTGATATGGAATCCAGGAGAAAAGTCAGAGATATAGATTTGGGATTTATTATCTGTCACATGTTGGGAAGAGCAACATTTAAGAGGCAGATGGAGAAAGAACAGCCAATAACGGTAAACAAAGAATAAACAAAAACCAAAAAGAGGCAAGAGAACCAGGAGATTGAGACCACTTCAAGAAACAGAATGATTAATAAGGTCAAATGTCACAGAAAGGTCAAGTAAAGTAAGGACTGGGAAGCAGTCATTTGATTTAGCAATCAAGCCGCTGGCGGCCTCTGTCAGAGTAGCTGTAGTGTGAGTGAAAGAAGAATGTGCGAATATGTGTTCTCTTTCTCTCCCCCCAACCCCCCAAGTCTCTTCCACCTTAGTAAACTGCAACTCTATTACTTTCTGCTGTCCCCCTTCACTTGCTGTTCCGGCCACACAGGCCCCTCAACGTTCCTCAAACAAGCCAAACAGCACTCTCACCTCAAGGTCTTTGCTGATTTCTCTACCTGGGATGACCTTCTCCCGGGACCCACACGACCCACTTGCCTCTTTCGGTCTATGCTCAAATGTCAGCTTATGAGAGGCCTTCCAATATCCCTTCTTATCCTGCTTTGCTTTTCTTCATAGTACTTGCCTCCACCTGACATGTATTTGTTTATTTTCCTTCTCCCTCAACTAGGTTGTAAGTTCCATGGGGGCAAGAGCTTTGCTTTGCTCAGTGCCTGGTACACAGTAGACACTCAAATATTTGTTGAATGGATGAGTAAACCACAGTAATGCCTTCTTTAGTTAAAATTATTAGCAATATACATTAATATGGATAGGGATATTAAAATGTATTATTAATAGGATAACATTACTTTCCAATATGAAAAAGACGACTGAACTACTAATAATATAAACAAAATTATATGGAAAATATTTTTCAAAATTGTCTAGTTCAGACTGTTGGCCACTACTGCCCACCATTTGTATAAACTTTAAACTTGTAAAGTAATCCCAGTATTATTCTTACTAGCCATGGGAGATTGACTTTGATTGCAAGTGTCAGCCACTAGAATTTCACTTTCCTTAGGGTTATGCTGTGGATGAGCTGAAGACTTTGGATCTTTTCTCAACTCTAAGGGAAAAAAGGAGAGAAATTATATATAAACAAAGAGTGAAGAAAAATATTAACGAAATTTTGATAAACTCCTTGCCATCGAGTTGATTGTGACTCATAGTGACCCTACAGGACACAGTAGAACTGCCCCATAGGGTTTCCAAGGCTCTAATCTTTACAGAAGCAGATCATCACATCTCTCCCTGTGGAGCGGCTGGTGGGTTCAAATCTCTGACCCTTTGGTTAGCAGCTGAGCACTTAACCACTGCACCAGCAATATAAATTTGTCTTTAAATACATTACAAACACTATTTTATTGATACAATTTTGATATTCTAAGAAGTAAGTTCTTTTAATTTCATTAATAAACGAAGCTGGGAAGTTAACTGGAGACAGAGTACTATAGTATTTTTATGCAAACAACACGTCTTCTACGTTTGTTGGCTAACAGCGGCCTCCCCCCGGCCCGCCCCGTGAAGTATTTTCGTAAGTGCTGCCATGCCAATTCTTTTCACATGTTGCTGTAAAAATATGGTACATAAGCTTTTCTGACTTAAGTCACCTCCAGTAAAAACATCTGAATGCTTTTCTTCTTTGTGTATTTGTCACAAATCAGCAGGTTCATTTAAAATGTATACTGCATTATATATCTCCACAATCTTGAAGTTTTTATTTTCTGGAAAGAAATCTTGAAATATGTTTATCAGAAATCATTCAGCTCTTTAAGGATTTAATTCAAAGAAATCCCAGAGAAAAAAAGAACTAATTATAACTAGAAAATATTAAAAAGCACTGTAAACTTTAAGATAAATAAGCAAGTGTAGACAGAAGAAAAGGACCAATCAGTCCTTAAATCAGTTTTATAATACTTTCCATGGTTCGAAAGTTATCCCAAATTTTAAAACCAACATTCCAGATTCCAAGTAAAAATGATCAGAATAAGACTAAAACAAACAAATTAAGTTTTTAAACAGTTACATGCTGTTTTCATACAATGAAGAAATAAACCAAAAGTATTTATACCAAAACCAAACCCATAGTCATTGAGTAGATTCTGACTCATAGCGACCCTATAGATCAGAGTAGAACTACCCTGTAGGGTTTCCAAGGAGCAGCTGGTGGATTCGAACTACCAATCTTTTGGTTAACAGCTGAGTTCTTAATCACTGTGCCACCAGAGCTCCAAAAGTATTTATACTGAATATAAAAGAAGACTTTCCTAATAAAGAAAATTGCTGTGATTTGTTTTCTGAAAATTTTTATCCACGTATTTAATTTAAACACAATCAAAATTAAACAGATGTTCTCTGTAATGATTCTTTGCCTGTCCGACAGCAGACTACAAGGTCAGTGAATGTTCATTCTAGATCCACAGATTTATATTTTAATTTAGATCCTAATTATGAGTAGGGTTTTTAACAGTTCTTCTGTTTTCCACTAGATGGTGATGCAAGATCAAATAAAATGGGGAAAAAAATTCCAGTATCTTCAAATATCCTCCCCTCTACCCTCTCAGGGGCCTTGGCTGCTAACCAAAAAGTTGGCACTTCAAATGCACCAGCTGCTCCTTGGAAACTCTATGGGGCGGTTCTACTCTGTCATATAGGGTTGCTATGAGTTGGAATCAAATTGGTGATAATGGGTTTTTGGTTTCGTTTTGTTTTTTTCTACCCTCTCATAAGAAAAAATCATGATACTTGCTTATAATAAATGGCACAGAAAGCTTGGTGAATTGTGTCAATTTTCCAAAATCAAAGAACAGGATCTACTTTTTTTTTTAAAGACCTAGCTTACCGACAACGATTTATTTGAATTATATAAACATCTCTAGGACTATGCAAACCTCTTCCCTCAAATACTTGACTTGTTATAGATAGTTTAGGTTAAAAGTCTTTACAATTTACTTTAGATTAATATTAAAAGGAATAATTATTGTATTATATCACATAATTTCAGGGCTACATGAGAAAACTGTTCCAAAGCAGTTAGCAAAAATGGTAACTGGTAGATAAATTATAAAGACATTTCTTGATTACCACTAACTGCTAAAAATTATAACAAATAAAAGTAAATAGTTAAAGATAGCTCCAATGGTGGAGTAGGTATGGTGAGAACTGGAAAGTACAAAAGTTTAGAGACAGGAAGACCTATATTTCAATGCTGACTCATCTACTTACTTGATAATTGATCTTGGGTGGATTATTTAACTTCTCTAAGCCTACCTTCTCCTCGCCTATAAAACAAAGGTAGCAACAGCTACCTCACAAGACTTATAAGAATTAAAATACATTAATAATGTATGTGAAGCACTTAGCATAATACCTAGCACACTGTAGGTGGAAGTTAATGTTACATTTCTGTCCTCTTTCCTATTATCCCACTCAGATATATACACATAAAGATTTTTTAAAATAAAAAGAGGAAAAGAAACTATTCACTATATTAATGAAATGCTGAGTGTTTACCTGTTTAGCTGAACAACACATGTCCATACATAATACAGGCATAAAATGTCTTCCCATTCCCACTAATGGGACTTAGAACTTTAATGTTAAATTCACAGTTGTAATATAAGTTACCTAAACAAAGGCTATCTTTCACTAAATTGAACAACACAAAAACTAATAGACAAGTTTTTCACAAAACCAGACAACTAAAATACAATGTCAATCCTTACCATTTGTACACACAGAGTGCTCCAATTTAGTATGTGTTTGTTCTACGTATCGGACGTGGAGGTTCTCCTTTCTTCGTAGCCGGTTAGCTCCAGAAAATGAAAAAGCTGTTATTGGTGAATCTGGAATAACATCTTCCTCAGATTCAAGTTCAGTGGCTTGATGCTGTTGATCATTCCTAGAGGAAAGTAATGGCAATTAAAAGAAAATTTAATTCAATGAATATTTATTAAAATATGTATATCTTGGGGAAGATCTAGCTCAACATAGATCTAGCGTAACATAGTTTATAAAGAAAATGTTCTACCTTCTACTTTGGTGAGTAGCGTCTGGAGTCTTAAAAGCCTGTGAGTGGCCATCTAAGATACTCCACTGGTCTCACCCCTTTGGGAGCAAGGCAGAATGAAGAAAACTAAAGACACACAGGAAAGATTAGTCCAAAGGACTAATGGAGCACAACCCCCACCGTCTCCATCAGACTGAGTCCACTACAACTAGATGGTGCCCGGCTACCACCATTGACTGCTCTGACAGGGATCACAATAGAAGGTCCCGGACAGAGCTGGGGAAAAATGTAGAACAATTCTAACTCACAAAAAAAGACCAGACTTATTGGCCTGACAGAGACTGAAGAAAACCTGAGAGTATGGCCCCCTGACACACCTTTAGCTCACTAATGAAGTCACTCCTAAGGTTCACCCTTCAGCCAAAGATTAGACAGGCCCATAAAACAAAACGAGACTAAAGGGGCACACCAGCCCAGGGGCAAGGACTAGAAGGCAGGAGGGGACAGGAAAGCTGGTAACAGGGAACCCAAGGTCAAGAAGGGAGAGTGCTGTTATGTCGTGGGGTTGTTAACCAATGTCATAAAACAGTATGTGTACTAACTGTTTAATGAGAAGCTAGTTTGTTTAGGCAACCTTCATTTAAAGTACAATAAAAAAAAAAAAAAAGTAGTACACAGAAGTGACCCCAATCCCTTTTAAACTTTTCCAAAAAACAGGAGGGAACACTTCCTAACCCATTCTATGAAGCTAGCATTACTTTCATACAAAAGCCAAAGACACCACAAGAAAAGAAAATTACACACCAATATCCCTTAAGAATATAGACGCAATAGAACCTTAGGAAGCAGTGAGTTTATGTCAGTGGGTGAGGAACAACTCTGGAAAGGACAGTGAGAATGATTGCACAACTCAAAGAATGTAACCAATGTCACTGAATTGTACATGTAGAAACTGCTGAATTGGTGTATGTTTTGCTGTGTATATCTTCAACAATAACAACAAAAATAAATTCTATAAAAATATATATAGATGCAAGAATCCTCAACAAAATAATAGTGAACCAAATCTAAAAGCATATTAAAAGGATTACATACTATGACCAAGTGGGATTTATCCCAGGAATCCAAGACTGGTTCAACACTAGAAAATCAATCAATGTAATACTCCATATTAATAGAATAAGGGAAAAGAACCACATGATCTTCTCAATCAATGCAGAGAAGGTATTTGACAAAACCCAACACCTTTTCATAATAAAAAAAAACACTGAAGCTAGGAATAGAAGGGAAATTCCTAAAAATGATAAAGAGCATTTATGAAAAACCCACAACTAACTCATACTCAGTAGAGAAAGACTTAAAAGCTTTCTCCTTAAGATCAGGATGCCCACTCTCACCCTGTCATTTAAAATTGTACTGGAAGTTCTACCCAGAGAAATTAGGCAAAAAAATAAAAGGTATCCAAATTGAGAAGGGAGAAGTAAAACTATCCCTTTTTTCACTGATGACATGATGCTAAATAACAGAAGACCCAAAGAATTCACAAGAAGCTACTAGAGCTAGTAAGTGAATTCAGCAAAGTGACAAGATACGAAGTCAATACACAAAAATCAGTCAGGTATTTATACATCAGCAACAAGCTGATGAAAAGGAAATTAGGAAAATAATTCCATTTACAATAGTGTCTAAAAGAATAAAACACCTAGGAATAAATTTAAACCAGAGAGGTGAAAGACCTGTACACTGAAAACTATAAAACATTACTGAAAGGAATTAAAGAAGACCTAAGTAAATGGAAGGATTCTGTGTTCCTTGGTTGAAAGACAGTATTGTTAAGATGCCAGTACTATCTAAATCTATAGTTGAACACAATACCCATCAAAATTCCAACAGCCTTCTTAGCAGAAATGGAAAAGCCAATCCTCAAATTTATATGGAACTCCAAGAGGCTCTGAATAGTCAAAATGATCTTAAAAAAAAAAAAAAAAGAACAGAGTAGGGCTCATACTTCCTTTTTTTTTAGAAATATTTTGTTCTTGGTGGCAATATACACAACCATACATATATCCATTCACAATTTCTAAACCAACAGGTCAATAACATTGGTTACTTACTTCACACTGTGTCACCATTCTAACTCTACCCATATTGTTTCATCACCATTAATTTAGGTTCTCTGGCACTTAAAGTTCTCATTTGTGCTTTAGATGAACTTTATAAAAGTGCTATGCTCCAGGCAAACCTTCTTTATTAACTAGGCTCAACTGTTGTTTAGTTTAATGATGACTCCACGGGACGGTTTCAGTTCAAGGTTCAAAGGTTATTTCCAGGCCTTAAATTCAGCAGTTCCCCAGTCTTAATGAATCCAATAAGTCTGGTTTCCATATGAGTTTGAAGTTCTGGGCCACACTTTTTCTCCTTAAAATTAGGATCCATCTATTAAGTCTTTGATCAAAACGTTCAGTAACGGTAGCCAAATACCATCCATTTCTTCTGGTTGCATGGTAACGGAGATAACAGTTTAGGGCTCATACTTCTTGATCTCAAAACATATAATAAATAATAATCGAAACAGTCTAGTACTGGTATAATGCTAGACATATAAACCAATGGAATAGAACTGAGAGTCCCAAAATAAGGCCGCACATCTATCGTCAACTGATTTTCATCAAGGGTTCTAAGTCTATCCAATGTGGAAAGAACCATCTGTTTAATAAACGGTGCTGGGAAAACTGGATATCAACAAGCAAAAGAATGAGCCTAGATCCATACCCCACACCATATATGAAAACTAACTCAAAATGGATCAAAGACCTAAATGTAAGAGCTGAAACCATAAAACTCTTAGAAGAACATGTACAGGTAATGCTTCGGGACTTAATTTTTAAAAACGAATTCTTAGATATGACACTGAAAGCATGAGCAACAAAAGACAAAATAGGTAAGTGGGACTTCAACAAAACAAAACAAAACAAAAAACCTTTTATCAAAGGACTTTATTATGAAAGTGAAGAAAAAACCTATAAACTGGGAGAAAATTATTGGAAGCCACCTATCAGATAGGAGTTTAATATCCAGAATACATAAAGAACTCTTACAACTTAATAACAAAAATCTAACGACAAACAATCTAATCAAAAAAATGGGTAAAAGACTTAAACAGACATTTCACCAAAGAAAAAATTCAAATGGCCAATAAGCACATGAAAAGGTGCCCAACGTCACTGGTCATTCAACCTGTTGCTGTTGAGTCAATTTGATTCATAGTGACCCTATAGGATGGAGTAGAACTGCCCCATAGGCTTTCCAAGGAGTGGCAGGTAGATTCGAACTGCCAACCTTTTGGTTTAATAGCTCTTATAACCACTGCACCACCAGGGCTCCCACTGTTCATTAGGGAAATGCAAATCAAAACCGTAATGAGAAATCATTTCACACCCACCAGGATGACTGATTAAAAACACGGAAAACAACAGGTGTTGGTAAGGACATAGAGAAACCAGAACCCTCATCCATTGCTGGTGGGATTGTAAAATTGTACAGCCACTGTGGAAAATAGTTTGGTAATTTCTCAAAAAGTTAAACATAGAATTAACATATGATCCAGCAATTCCACTCCTAGGTATATACCCAAAAGAATTAAAAGCAGGAACGCAAACAAATACTTGCATACTCACGTTCACTGCAGCACTATTCACAATAGTCAAAAGGTGGAAATAGTCTAAAGGACCATTAGCAGATGAACAGATAAACAAAAAAGCAAAAACAAAACAACAAAAATATGGTACACACATACAACGGAACGTTATTCTCATGCTACAACAGAGATGCACCTAGACAACATTATGCTGAGTGAAATAGTTCAGTTGTAAAGGGGCAAATACGTACTATTCCATTTATATGAAATATCTAGTATAGGCAAGTGTATAGAGATCAAAGTTTATTAATGGTTACCAGAAGTGGGTGTAAGGGAGGGGGAAAGGAAGGAACAATGCTTAGAGGACCCGGAGCTTCTATTAGGGGAGACAGAAAAACTTGAGAACAGTTAATGGTGATAATTGAACAACATGATGAACATATTTAATGTCACTAAACTGTACAGGTGAAGACTGCTGAAATGGCAAAGGTTGTTACCTGTATGTTTACCATAAAAAGAAACAGAAAAACTACTATACCATATAGAGCTACAGTGTAATCCCTTGTATCTAATGTTACATATCTAAATACAAGGATTAAAGAGGTATTTAAATGATTATAGTACGAGGTGGGGAAGAAGTGATGCCAAAAAGTGTAGCTGATGGCACCTGAGGTGAAATGAAAAGAATTTCAAATGGCAGAGATGAGCGGAGGACCCAGCAGTTTAAGTAAAAGCACGCAGTACTCTATACTTGTGTTGGAGAAGGACAATCTAGAACCACATAAAGGAGAGCCCTGATTAAGTGTGCACGTAATTTGGAAGGCAAGAGAAAAGGAATTAAGGCTTCAGAGCATGAAAGAAATGTGGTGATCTAGCAGCAATGTCTGGGAGACTAAACAGTCCAGGCAAGAGCTTCTGTGGGTTTGAAGTAGAATGTTGAAAGTAAGTATGGAAAGGAAGAGACCTATGTTAAACACTGTGGTCGCAGAAAATCAACACGGCTTGGCAAATGACAAATAAATGATGATAAATAATACTAACATTGATAATTAACAACATCTGTTGAGTGTTTACACTGCCAGGCACTGTTTGAAATGTTACATGTATCACAAATCTGTTAAGTACTATTACTTTCATTTTACAAATGAAGAAATAAAGATATAATATTTAAGTCACATACTAAAACAGTAACAGAGTGAGGATTTAAATCTAGGCAGTCAGACTTTAGGGACCATACTGGTATCTACCGAATGTG